GGTGCGCCAGCGCATTTCAGTGTAGCGGTTCGTAATTATTTACAAACTGTTTATCCAAATCGTTGGATTGGCCGCGGTGGGCCCCAAGAATGGCCACCAAGGTCCCCAGACCTCAACAGCTTAGATTTCTTTTTGTGGGGCTATCTTAAGACACTAGTGTACACAAGTCCCATTAACACTGTAGAGGAATTGAGAGAAAGAATAGTTGCAGCTTGTGATAGAATAAAAAACACTCCAGGGATATTTCAACGAGTGCGCAATTCCATGAGAAGGAGGGCGGAAGCATGCATACTAAGTGAATGAGGCCATTTTCAACAATTTTTGTAATCAATTCCTTAGTTTTAATATTGTGTTTATGTTGTCCGTCGTTGTTCATTACCCCTAATGTGTTTAATTTTTCCAATTAAATTAATAATAATTTTGCAAGTTAGACAATAGAACGGTTTTAATTTTTTTACTCAAAAGATTAGTGTTTTAAATTGAACGGGAAATTCGAAAATGATTTTTATTTGACAAAAAACCATTGGCGTACCATTTTTTTCTTAAAAAATATCGGAGTCAGTACCCGTACGCACGACACTGTTAAAGCTAAAAATTATTTTTGCATTGAAAAATATGCAACTTTATTAACTGTCACTACGTACATATCAGTGAAATATCTGAAGTGGTTCTGGAAATATTAATTAATTTCCATCTTTTTCCTAAAACTTCAACACCTGTTTTTGTAAGGAAACATTTTTGGACCATAGTTTGTAAAGCAAACTAACATTAATTTTTCATATAGATTCACACAATTAAATATTAGCATATCATTAAGGAACAGCCTGTATAAATGCTACTCAATGCTTGATGTTTTGTTTTTTGAAAATTAGTCATGTTTTTCACACCTAGGTCTTATTCTATACATTGTTACCCTCATGCGATGCTATTCTCCATCCTGTGACCTCCTAGAGAGCCTTACAGACGAGTATCTGCTTGAGCTAGTGATTTTTGAAGATGATTTTGGTCTTCTCCTGAATATGCTTCAGTAGTGCAACATAATGATTTGGTTTATTGGCAAAATTGTCAACTGTTCTTAGTAGTTCATAAAGGCCGAAATTGCTAGAGTAACCAGAGATTTGAGTGAGCAATTTTAGCTTTACAAGAAACGGAAAAGTTGTTTGCTTGCTAGCACACAGAATGAATGAAGCACGAGTCTTATACTAAAAGAAATTGTACGCGGAGTAATTTCCTCTTTGACGATCCCACACACTTAATTCCTTTGAACTTTTGTAGGTAGCCTGACTCCTTTCACAACTGAGCTATACAAAGGAAGTTTTAAATTTAGAAACTTATGCACACCTTTAAACAGGTGCCTACTGCGAAGTTAAAAGAGTACGCTTTCCAACTGCTGACCTAAAACCTCGACTAACAAAGCGGCGTAACTCGTTCAGTATCGGTAAATCGGGCTAGAAGAATAAGCAAACTTCTGTAAGTGGCTGGTTTTCTATTTAGGCCGAACGTCGAAAAAGTGAGAAATCAGCCAGGAAGTTTGCTACTGAAACTAACTAATGTCCTTCAGCGGCGTTGCAGTGCTCCTTTGGCCCGCTTTATATAAATTGAACCAACACTTTTCTCTGAAAACCGCCAGCAACTTGGAAATTATTATCATCTTATTTTTAAACTTCGCGTACTATAGAAAGCGGTTGTATACCGCTTATAGTGCGATATAATTTTTCTCAAGTTCTCAAAGTAATTAGAGTAACACGATAATATATTTATACTGGAGTAGCCAAGAAGCCTATATATACCGCTGTAAGGTAGGTTTTTTTATTTATACGCGTCGGCAGATGCCTAAACACCGCAGCTGCTACGATGAGCTTAAAGAAACTTTGTTAAGCCAGAATATCAATACCTTAGGGACACAGGAGCGGTCGTATCGGCCAGTTCTGGATTAAACGGTCATGGACCAGACCTTTGACGAGCAAAGTCCGTTGTCGCATCGGTATATAGAAGAGAGCCAGATTGTCCGACGGTGCGAAACAGTCCGTTTGAGAAGAGTCATCGATCAATCGGTCAGCTGTCCTCTGAGTAGCATCGAGCATAGATAATGTAGTAGAGGCGGCAGCACCTCAAACATGTGAGCAGTACTCTAGGCTAGGTCTCACCTGGCCCTCGTACAGAGTGAGGAGGTTATGTGGAGAATATTACTTCTTAGGTCTAAACAAATAGCCTAGCATTTGCCCAGCAGCTGTTGCTATTGATGAGATGTGACCGCGCCAGATCAAGTCCTCGGTGAACTTAACTCCGGCCAGCTGAAATGAATGGTTCTTTGGGAGAACTCGACCATCCACTGAAACCGGATGAGCGCTAGGGCGCTTCTTGTCAGTCAAGGTACAGCACTGTGTTTTGGAAGCATTCAGCTGCACCAGATTGTTGCATCCCCAAGCAGTGATAACTTTCAGGTTTCTCATCAGAGAGGAAGTTGCTGCTAGTCTTCTTTTCTCCAGCTCGCCAGCAGTGATCGGCTTGTCACTCTAAATTTCTGCATGTAAAGCTGTAGATCGGATTGATCGTACAGGAAATGAGGTCTTTGATAGGTAAGGGGAACAATATCCTGGGAAACGCCCGCGTTGACATTGTGCGATGAAGAGCAGAACCCGTCAATTACGACGGTTATCTTGCGGCCAGAGAGGAAGCCCCACCCTTCTGCAAAACTTTTCTGAGCACCTGACTTATGCGCCTCTTCATCTCCTTATAGTGGAAAGCAGAGCTATATTCCTGCTGTAAAGGGTCGGTCTTAAATCCTTTTTTTTTGTTATTTTTTTGAGCAAATTTCCAGTTTTCTGGTAAGGTGCCGGATATCTCGAAAAGGCGCGAAAGAAGTGGAGCACGCTCCGCTGCATATCTCTTCAGTACAACGGCAGGAATCAAGTCCGAGTCAGAAGCTTTGTTGATGTCGAGCGACCAGAGCACCTGACTTACGGTCTTACGCCTGAAGATTACTTCCCGCGTAGTACGGGAAATTCTGAATCGATGGCACTCTGGCGTTGGGGGACGTCCATGGTGTAGTTGGGTTTAATGATTTAGTATGACGTAGACCTCAACACTAAAGTTTTCATGGGCCAAAGTTTTTCCCCAAGTAGTTTCCGAGATACATGGTCACCAAGATATCTGGTCCGTACCCCACTACATAGTGATTGGAAATGTATTTGCCTTCTTTTCATCATTTCTACTGAGTTCAGCAGTATTCATAAAACAAAGGATATCCTTGTATTTGCAAATTTTGAAGGAAATCCTCCAGATGGTATTTATAATAATTTGAAGTAAATGATTTTGCTTTTTGAGTATAAGCATATCCTTCAAAGCAGTGACATAAGTAAAAGAATATTCATAACCTTCACCTTATACTTGGTATAGGAAGCATATCCTTAAAAAATGTGGTCAGTAGCAGACTCAACTTCGTAACGAAAGGTGGTCAAACGATGATGGCGGAAATTGTGGATGTTAGGGATGTTAAAACGTACAAACCTCGTTTACCTTCACTTGGTCGTGATTTCAAAAAATTATATCGGTTCGACGAATGTACAATGGTTTGCGGACAGATTTTTAGTTGAGTATGGGGAAACTTGAGGAGGAGCACTTTCATGTATTCATAAAATGAAGATATGTCTACGCTATCTCGGTGACCCTGGATATCAACAAGGTATTGGTCAGGAACTTATGTTAGTCAAGCAACGGTATCTCGGACTGTGGATAGAGTTGTGAACAGCATAGTTGCACAGTCGAACGAATGGATCAAGTTTCCATCTACCAACCATGAACTGATTGAGGCCAAGCGGATATGGCAAAGCATGTATAAATTTCCGACAGCAATTGTTGTAATTGATTGTACACATATAGGAATTCTGAAACCAAATCGCCATGGAGATGCATATATCAACCGAAAAGGGAAACCTACTTTAAATGTGCAAGCTACTTGTGATGCCAGAGAGATGTTCACAAGTGTTGATGTCAGTTGGCCTGGATGATTCCAGAATATGGAGAAATTCACAGACTAGATCACAACTAATAAATAAAGCAAATGTTGCACTACTTGGCGTTGACGGTTATGGTATTGAGCCATGCCTTATGACTCCCTTCAGAAATCCTACTCCAGGTGCAGAAATAAATTATAATAAGCTTTTAAAACAAGAAAGAGTTATAAAAACGCCGGTTTCCTATCCTACTGTATGTTTGCCGCGTAAAGTTGGAAAATGTGCCGAAAATAATTATTGCTTGTATTGTACTCCATAATGTTGCGAAGAGCTTGGGCGATCCTGACTTTGAGTTAGTTGAACAAGACCCAGATGAAGATAAAGGAAATCATGAGAATAACGAACCAACTAGGTCAACAAATAAGAAGACACTTGAGTATTATAATAGATAGTTTTACTGATTAAAGTGTATTTATAAGTTATAATAAGTTTTATTTTCGTGAACATCATAAGTTACAGGTGGCTTCTGACGCTGCATCATTTCTAATTTCGTTTTATAATACTCTTGTTGTAAAATACTTGTTTGGTACTGCTGTAATAGCACAAGACGTTGCAGTTCTTTTGTAGTTAACCCTTTGGTTTCCCCAGTTTCGTATTTCTCTGTTGCTAATTTTCTTTTTGGTGGCAATATCTTCTGAATTGCTGGCGCTGTAATACTAACTGTTTGCTCACTGCGATCGGTATATAGTTCACTTCCTTCTTCTTGAACACTACCAACCTGAATGGCACCTCTAATTTTCCCAATTGTAGGATTACAGTCACTTTCCATAGCTTTCAGCAATTTTCTTTCCCTATCTAACAATTTAATTGCTTTATTACCAGTTTTTTTTAGATCTGTTTCTTTCTTCAATCTTGATTTCATGTTGTTGATTTTTTTTAATAAGCCTTTAGTATCTAATGGTTTACCGAATGTTGATTCGTATTTTTTCAACATTTTCTTCAAGACATCGTCCTTTCTCATTTTTATTTTTGGAACTGCAGGTCGTTGCCATTATTTTATATAGTTTCCTCATCACTTGAGAATGACAGGCTTATTAATTTGATAAAAAACTGTATCCAGTAAAAATACGGAATGGTCTGTGTAAGCTCTGGAGTACAACTGTCAGTGATGCTGAGTGAACGAACTCCCACGTCAACTACAAGCTGGAACAAGTCAGGATATGTCGCTCAAGATACAAATACCAGTCAGCCTTTTACTTCTTCTTGGAGGATATCCTCGCGAGTATAAGGTAATCATTATGAATATGAAAACAAGGATATGCGTATACTTCTTACTTATACTTTTACCTTATGCTTCCGAGGATATGCTTCTCTTTTATGAATACGGCTCACTGAGTCAGTTTACTTGAATTCATTTTTACATTTGTAAAAATGCTTACGTAGCGTATGCAATTTATGCGTTCGTTCAAGAAAGCGTACATATGTTGGTTTAACCAGGCGGTTATGCGTTCGGTTTTCAATCTAAAGGTTAAAGTATTAGCTTAAGGCGAACGTTTTTAATTTAGAATAACTAAATACTCGTGACGTTCAATTTGAAATGTAAACAATTATTGGATTTCATATCAACGGTATTATCTTGAATCTATTTGTTTTCAGCTCTCACCAGGCGTATTCATGTGAAAATTTTCTGCCGGCTACCACGCGAGTTTGTAATCATTGCAAATGTTGGAAAAGCACTCACATCAGTAGTGGAGTGATCTTAGATTTAAACCCCGGAACCCGGTTCCATTGAATGGATTTTTGAGAATTTCTGTGGAACCCTTTTAAAATACCGTATCTCGTTAATTTTGGTCAGATTTGATCTTTTTAAAATATACGTATACGGTTATTCAGGTTTGTAATAAACCATAGATAGGCCTCATTAAACTGAACAACAAAGTTCCTCTATCACTTTACGGCTTTGTCATTCAGATGCAATGTGAACATTTCTTCTAATAATAATAGTTTAAAATTATTTTATGCTACTTGAGGGACTTAGATGAAGCTCTGTGAATCAACTGAATTTGTATTGCTCATATCGAGATAAACAGCTCTTAGCTTTTTTAAGCCGTTCACCGAATCTGTACTACGCTAGAATTTTTATCCCTTTGAATTAGTGGGTAGGTTTGATCTATCAGGTAACCAAATTAGTTCGTGCGGTTACTGTATATCGCACATTGCCATTGATGTTGTTGCATCTTCATCAGCTGGGAAAGACGTGGAGGTTAAGCAAATGGGTCCCACAAAACTGACAAATGATAACAAATTAAGGGCCGATTTCACCAACATTATTATTATGGACCAATAGAAAAATACCTTATCGAAATGCAATTTGACGGAAGCTGTCAAATGTCTCAGAATATCAGTGATTTCTATTAAAATATTGAATAAAATCGTGAAAATTCGACTGTATTATAAACAAGACCACTTTTTGATTCCAACATGATGCTTTTGTACAGAAAAAACAGGACAACTTTCATGTATTTTGATATATGTTATAGGTTTACATTTAACAATCCGTTATCCCCTCAGCGAATAGGAATGGGAGAAATAATAGGTCGATTTTCTAGCTGTTAAATTTGGCAGCAGGTTTGGTCGTTTTTTAATTCATGGCAATCTCGAAATTTGTTAAGTTCAATATACTGTGTGTATATTATGTGATCATTATAGCTATACATACCTGTTGAATTGTGCGGATTTGCAAGAAAATAGAATATAAAATGTATTCCAACCAATTCCTCATCTCTCTTTACATCATAATAGTAATCATTTGTTATAAATTCATGGGTTAATGAATTTCTTCAAAGCAATCAAAACAGTATGGTCGTCCCCATCCTAAAACACCGATATGTGTAAAACATGTTAATCAATACATCTCCGAGGTGCATAATGCAATTGCTGTAGACATAGACCTAAAATTATTAGTAATTACTGAAAAATAAGCGCTAAAAAGAGTTATAAATAGTGATAAAATATTGGAGGTTAAGGTTTTTGACTGGTGACTGGTGGGGATACAATATAGTAATGGCGACGATAGAGAAAGATTTTCCTCTGCCGGCCCTTGACATCGTTTCGAAATATGAAATTCTGGAAACGCTATAAAAATAAAAATGAATACACAAAGCCTACTTGCCTATTTCAGACAAAAACAAAAACACAACGATTATATTATATTGAATAAATATTTAATAAAAATATATTCCAAATATTTATTAAATATTTGTTTAAGATAACAAATATTTAAGTAAGATAACAATATTATTAAATATTGAATAAATATTTGCTGAATATTTCGTGCTATCAGGGTAGGGTCCTGGTTTGGCGGCAGGTTGGGGAACGATGTGTTGAAGAAAACATGTAGTGGTATTACTGTTTGGGCTGGGGTTATGCATAGAGTAACGTTCTATTTGCATGGAGAGGGTAATCAAAAAAAAATACCAGGGCGAGCCGAAATACATTTATTGCGGGGAGATCGATAATTTGAGCTATTCCCAACTTTCGAAAAATCACTTTTTTAGCATAGTCCAAAGATCAAAAGGATGCATAGAAAAATCTCCAAGATAAAAAATTGAGAAACTGACATATACTACGTCTTGAAGGGTATTAATTTTGGAGAAAGAAATGCAATATTCAAGTTAATACAATAGTTTGGTAATAGATATTTTTTATTCATTTTATTGCAACAATATATAATTGTGAATGTCTCCAGTCTGGCAGCATTACGTCTGAACCACAATACGAAAAGACGTAATTGTTTTTACAATTATTAATTTTTACCCGAGAAAGGTTATATAGGCATGGCTCTAAGAAAAGTTTTAGGATAACAAAAGGAATTTGTCGATGACCTTAAATATGACCTTAAACTATCTAAGGGAATTAGCACTATATTACTATGATCAAAGTAAGTCTTCCTATAATTTTCATCATATCGCTCAAAATATCAAATCCTACTGATATAGACCTATAAGCTTGTTACACGGTCTTTCAAAAATTCTAGAAAACCATACAGAAACTATATATAATATACTTGAAGTAAAACAAAACACAAAACAAATCTAAACCAAGACGATAAAGAAACAGAGTATCAAAATGCAGTAAATGCACGATCATATGCCCTATTTCTATATCCTTAATCATTTCGGTCGGACCTGCGACTGAACGCTTCCGCGCCAGACACCTTATATCAAATTACATTAAACCGTTTGGGTTGTAGCCGGTGAAATGGACATTTCAAAGTTATTTTCCGAAATAGAAAGTAGCTTTTCCAAACTAAAATCTGTTCTGTCTCGGTACAAAGTTTCATCCAGATCCGTTCTACCATTTTAGCGTGGAGTATCTACCAAACATCTACAGTTTCTCATTTATACTCGTAATATATAAGCGAAATGGAATAGGAGAAGTCGGGATGAACATCCACCTCACAAATCATCTAATCAATGTTAGGCAACAGTTGTCTTTATTTGTAGGATATAGATATTAGAGTGTTTTTAGTGCAAATAACGTTCCGTTAAGCCTTTAGTTGCGTATTTGACCAAATAACGAATGTTGACGAAAATATTTTATGACCACTAACTGACAGTCATGACAGGTTGCTTAGTTTTTTTTATTTCGACCTAAAACTAACCCAGAAATTTCAAAAACCTGTTACATTTTTCATAGAAAAGATTCGGTAATATCGGTGTCCAAACTGGACAAGAAATAAATAGGTTTAGAATCATAGAACCTCAGAAGGACAAGTGACCATAGAGCAAGCAGAACTACAATAAAAGGCGGCCTTGCCACATTGCATGTAAAACAAAAAGGCAATTTAATTAGAACACTGCCTATTTCTCGCATTTATTTTTATCTGTGATCTAAAACTCACAATGATTATAGAACTTGAAATTATTCTAATTAAGCTTATCCAGCTTTACAAATTCCAGGAACAGCGTTGAATAAGGAAAATATAACCTTTCAAAATAAGCCATCCCATATTTTGTGTAACTAACGGAGCTTTCGTATTTCGATGACGGATAACGGATGATTGTTACGCTACTGCGCAAAATCGAGATAAGGAAGATCATGACGAGGCTGCAAAATAAGAGCACTAAAAACTCTCTACTATGCAGTAATAAAGCTATAACTACGACTAGAGCTACTAGTATGCCTCTTCCAGCAAATCAACTCAATGTTGACTGAAAAGCCTAAAGCTTTCGGTATTCTGCGCTGCCATGGTGAGGCACTCAGCAACATATTGACTTAAAGCGAAGAAAAAAATAACACCGAGTTTTTCTCTGAACTGAGAACTGTCGCCTCAAATTGCGTTGACTTTCAGGGAATATAGGTCTTAACGGAAAGGTCGCAGCACAGAGCCTCCTGGGAAATTCCCGCACTGTAACCGGCTTATTGAAATGTAAGGGGAGAGGGAATAGTAAGGTGGAGCAATTAAGTTATTTGGTAAATTCATTATTATTAAAATGAACTGGTATTAGCATGAATGGAATTACTGTATGCACAGTATAACAAGTTGATTCTACATTCCATACAATACGAATTTCAATTTGTTCTGTGAGGTAGTTCGAATGAAACAATCTCGTATATAGGGTGTCCCAGAATAACGCGTCAATCTCTCATCCTACATATTGAAGGCAAAAAATAATGTCGGATGTTCGTATAAAAAATGCCTTACGGAACTCCCCTACGGACATATATCTGCCCCTAAAAAGGACGCTACTTGAAATCGTTTTTTTCTCAAATAACTTTATAGAATCCAACGGATTTTTGAGAGCATAGTAATCAGTTGGTACCTTACTTGAAGGTGCCCATGAAAAATAATTAACGAAGAAGGGGCAGGCTAACCGAACGCAAAGGAGGTGGGCTGATGAGAGCCATTTTTGCCCATGAGCGAATAGATATGACATATATGTATATATATACATAACAAAAAAGAAAATAGGAAAATAATGGGCAAATTCCGGTTAGATGTCGCCTTGAAAATTCGAGGTCTTCTAGCCATTTTATACTACAATGTGTAGGTTGGCTCTTGTTGTGGACTTCGTGTGAGGTTTTTTTTCTCCATCTTCGTTTCCTCAGGTTACACCCGTATCCGGATGTATGGGCATGTGTATCTACTTTTGTAGTTACATATGTGCATTCATTTCGGGCCTGATGAAGCCAACCAGCAGAAATACTTATCGTTCGGGTTACCTATCCTATTTTCTGCTCGAATCCACTTTCCTTCTTTTTGCGGAATTTGCCCATTATTTTCCTATTTTCTTTTTTATTATATACCTTCCTCCGCATAATCACTTTCTCTTTATATATATACTTTGAAGTTGAGTCATTAATTTTC